ATAATTCTTTTAAGTAACAGAAAATAACATCAAAGAAAATGTTTCCAAATCAGTTTCTTTCAACAAAAAACACTTCTAAAACTTTAACCAAAACTGCGTGTCTGTTTTGGTTAAAACATGTTTGTTTTCCATTCAGTGGATAAAAAAAATCCAGAAATTTTACTCAAGTAAGAGTAGAAATACTTCACAATAAAATAACTCAAGTAAAAGTAAAAAGTACAGCGTAGTAAAAAACTGATTCTGTTCTCATATTGTGAGAAATTTGATCTGAATTTAAGACAGTAATGTCCGGACAGAATGAGCCTGTGGACTGCACATGGCCCGGGAGCCTCCAGTTGATTACCGCATTCAGACTTTGACCATACCTGTCCCCTTCATTCTGCGGTTTTCTTCCCAGATGGTTTGGTGAAGCTAACCATCTGGTGCGTCAGGTTACCGCAGACCAGCACCGAGTTATTTCAGGCTTTGTGTCACAGCTCTACCTCTGAACGCCGTCCAAAAACATGCAGGTTTCAGTCCTTAAAAAAAAAAAAAACAAACAAAAAAACCCTTTTACTGCCATCTAAATGCAGGTTTGATGGAGCGGCTGAGATGGAGCGGATCCTCCCAGCTCGCCGGGTAAAAACTCTGCTGGAATGTGATGGAGGAACCAGGTTGGGTTTCATGAGCAGGTGTCTGTTGTTTTTCTCACACTGTTTCACCACCTGTTCATCTCAACTCCTTCCTGGGATTTTTTTCCCCTCTGCGAAGGGCTTGGGAAAACATTACAGCATTAAGCTTTCAGATAACACTGAATAAAGAGACACATCTACATTTTTTTACATCACTGTCTGAAGTTAAATCAAACCAAACTTCTCTTGTTTTCAGTCAGAATCATCAAATTTATGTCTATTTATTAAAAAGCCACAACAATGAGATTTATATATTAGTGTCTTTGGATGATTACTGTCTCTCTAACCAATGAGGGAAAGCCCAGATGTTGATGTCACGGCTTTGGAAACTTCTGATTGATGCCTGAAGTTTTATCTGTTACATAGATCTCGTGACGTCACACTTCCAGGAACTTTGTCCCCGACAGCCATTTTGGTAGGTATCCGTAACTGTCATGACAGTTGCTATGTAGTTGCTATGACAACAATAAACAAGCCACAAGCTTAGAAGTAGCTCTCACCTTGATCCTATATAAGTTATAAACAATATACTTTACAATATTTACTCAATTACAATTTCTGAGTACTCTACCTTCATTTTGTTGGTCTCATACACACGGTTTTTATGCTTTCTACTTGCCTTCCAAGATGGCTGTTTAGTGGCGCGACGGGGAATGTCCAACTATCATAATGTTAAGAGACAGATTCTGGTCCAAAATGCGGAAATCGACCCCATTTGAAGCTGGTAAGATGGAATCCTTATTCACTGAAACATTTTCTGCACCATGGGCTGAAAGGCAGCTCAGCAAGGAAGGAACCAATATTCCAAAAATCCAACCAGTAATTAGTCTGAATAATTTGTTTTGTCCAATCAGAAGTTAGATGCCCTGAAATGTCACTCAGTGAGGAAGAATCCATTCCTCCAAAAAGCATAAAAATCCAGATTGCATTTTCTAAATGTCCACATTGACAAAGATCTTCGTTTTTGGAGAGATGTCCTCTCTGATTAAACTAAAATGTAACTGTTTGACCATAGTAACCATTAGTACATTTGGAGAAAAAGCAAAGACGCTTGTATCACCCTAACTGTCAAATATGGTGGTGGCAGCATCATGCTGTGGGGCTTTGTCGTTGCAGGAGGAACTGGTGCACCTCATGAGAAAAGAACATTATGTGAAGTATTGAAGCAACATCGAAGCTAAAGCTCCAGACGGATGATGATCTTCAGCAGTCAAAGTCGTTAAAAAGTGATTTAAAGACAACAAAGTCAACGTTCTGGTGTGGCCTACACAAAGTAAAAGTTGTGGCCAGATCCAAAAGCTGACCCAGTTCCACCAGTTCTGTCAGGAGGACTGGACTAGAACTCCAGCAGCTACCAGACTGAGAAAAGAAAACCTAAAAATGTTTGACCCAGGTTACACAGGTCAAAGGTGAAAAACTACCAAATACTCAGGAAGTTTATGTAAACATCTGAGTTTATAGATATTCATAAATCAATTTATCTTTACTGTGACTTTTACCAAATAGAAACAATTTTGGTGATTCTACTTGTTAAGTCTTTCCACATCAAAGCCGATCCGACTTGAAAGGATCTTTGAAAAACCTTGTAAACAAAACAAACATAATAGTTTTCCATTAACCACATAACTGTTTAAAATATTTCAGTAATCAATTAGGATATTTATTTTCTATAGAGAAAAAAACCATATTAGTCCATTTTTTAACTTTAGCAGGTTAAGCCTCTCATTATTAATTTTATTTTAAATCTTCCTCCTATTTCATTTTTAGGAATAAGAACAAAATTTTCTTTCCACCAAAACCACTTAAAGTAAATCACTTTAAATTGTCTAACATACAAAGATTAAAGTAAATTAAGTATTTTATCATCACTTTATGCAAAACAATGCTTTAGCAGATTTGCAGGAAAACTGATTACATGATTCTATCCAAAAACCTCAAACTAAAAAATTCAAACCAGCATCAGATTAAGTCAGCAAACTCTTAATACAAACAAACAAACAAACAAACAAACAAACAAACAAACAGCAGGTTCTTCCTGCTGAAAATAACTCTGATTACAAACCAAACCGGATTTCTAAATAGTTGGCAGATTTAGTTTTAATACTGAGGTTTTTACTCACCGGTTTACTTGTTTTTTGGTCTGACAAAGGATGGCACACCTGCAAAACCAATCAGTGACACTAAAGCCGCATAACTTGCTGAGGCGCCCCCTGCTGTCTGAACCAAATATGTTCAAATAAGACTAACACCTTAAAAAATAAACTAATTTAGAGAAGCGGTGTCAATTGACAGAACAATAATTGACCTAAAACAAGAGAAGTTTGATCTGATTTAACTTCAGACAGTGAGGAAAAAAAATGTGTTTGTGTATTTTTATTCTGAGTATCCAAACTTGTGGTTTCAACTGAATATTATAGGTCTATGGCTAAAACCAGCTGACCAAATGTTCTGGAACTCTGCTGGGGTTGCTAGGTGACGGGTGGAACTCTGGCTGGGGTTGGTAGGTGACGGGCGGAACTCTGCTGGGGTTGCTAGGTGACAGGGAATTCCCCGCTGTTTTGCGATGTTATATTTCTGAAGTTTTTGAAACAAGTCAGTTTCCAGACACCGAAAACCGTTCAGTTATTGGCAGAAATTGGCTTGGTTTGTTTGTTTTAAGAACTTCAGCTGTTTATAGAATTAGGAGAAACTCGAATGGAAATACATTTTGCATATTAGGCCCAATTTAAGCCTTTTATTGCTGTAAAACCATTATTTCTACCCTAAATTTGGTCAAAATTAGGAAATGAAAGCACTATAAAGTCACCCAACTCTAAAAGTCCAGTTAAGATTGATATAAAAGCCTTATTAGGTGTGAGTAATGGTAGAAGATGGAGGTTTGGGTGAAAAGTGAAACTGGGAACAAAGAGTTTGCGAGCGTGTCAGCCAGCGTTCCCCCTCTGCGCCCCAACACCAGTTTCCATGTTGCAGGCTCGGCATTACACTTGTCAATGAGTTTGCCTGTGCGGGCCATGCACCGCTGCCCTGCGTCTCCTTTCTAAAAGGCGCCGGCTCGTGCTTGAACGCTCACTGTGTCCACGCCTGGTGCCCTAATCCAGGGCCTGCTCTTCCTTTAAGCAGGGAGTTAACTTAATCCCTCTCATTTAGGCAGCTGCACCAGCAGGAACTACGGAGGACGGGGGAAGAAAGTTCAAACTGTGACACTTTCAGCTGCTGCCACCGCACCTCCCTGGTTCCACATGCGCTCCGTCTCGGCCCGGTGTTTTAATGCGGCTGTGAATAATGCATGGGACGGGAAGGAGAGGGGAACAGAGTGAAGCCGGGGAACGGTGCTTTGATAAACGTTTTTTAGCATCTTGAGCAAACTCTGGATGTTTTATTGGGATTTTATGGGATAAACTGAAACAAGGTAGAGCGTAACTTGAAGTGGAAAGGAAAGCAAACATGGCTGCCAGTAGCTTTTACTGCTACATTAGTCATTTTTAACATATCAGTATCTGATTAAGTACAACTGGATCAATATTCCTACCAACTCCAGGAAGTCCTGCTCTTTCAGAACCACTTCTAACTCCTCGGTTCAGATCTGGTGCTTCCAGCCTGTTGATTCACAACACAAATAAATAAAAACTGTTCCCAGCGTCATCATTTAACTGTTACCTTTCAGAGTGAAGAAAGGTTCTTCTTTGTCCTCAGTTCACTCTCAGGTGCTGCGTCCAAAAGAAACAAATCAAACAAGTTGGCCTCAGCGGACAGAGTGCTGAAAAGCAGCAGAGATATTCATGTGTACTCTGGCAGAGAGCATCCTGACCGGACCGCCGCTCCGTCCCGCAGTCAGGAAGACGAAGCGGGAAACGCCGACTCGTCTTCAGGAAAACATCCCTGAGGTGCTTGTCACTCCTCGAGCCTCTTTGTTTTTGGATGGACCCATTGTTCCTCGGATCTGGAAACATTTTATTTCGATGACAAACGGTGAGTCTTTGCCGTCTCTGGAATATTTTTACAGGAGAGTTTGAGTCGGTGGAAAATGTTGCAACTAAAGAAAACATGAGGAGCAGCTGTGGAGTCGAGGCTGAAGGTTTGAACCATGACGCAAGAGTTTCACGAACTATTAGGGTGATTCTGTTAAAATGAGGTCAGATGTGAAAATTTATCACAATGAGATTAAGAGCAACTTCCTAACTGATAAACTGGACCATCAAAAACTTCAAGGTTCAACTGAATGAAGAAGATTTCAATCTCCTCCAAGCCCAAAACCATTTTCAAAACCTTAGTCCTGCTTCATTGCTGCCTCAATTTGACATTTTACTTCCCAGCTTTAGCACAAGTTGCTAAGTTTTCTGTTTCCTTTGATTCATCTGTTTCACAATGTAGGAAATCTCAAAATTTAAAATCAAAAACTAAACAAAACATTCAAACATAAACACAAACTGGAGCAAACGTCCCTGTTTTCACTGCGGTTCATCCTCCAAACCACAAGGTGTCACAGTTGTACTCACTGGAAGTCCACTCAACAAACTAACAATTTTAAAGTGTAACTAAACATCAGATAAACTGTTTAAATTAAGGGTCCAAATTTTGACATTTCCCTGTAAACTTGTTTCATTCTGCATAATTTTGGCCAAATAATGCAGTTTTTCATTAAAAACAGTTGCCAGAGCGATCTCAAACATAGCTACATTGTAAACAGTACCTCTCAAGTCCTAAGCCTTCTGCTCGTTCCCCAGTTGGCCACGCCCCTCAGTGTCTTTTGGCTCCGCCCAAAATTTACCACAGGGCGGGGCTTATGCTTTTACGGAGGAATTAGCTACATTTTTTATTTGTTTAGCGCCTCAGACAGGGAATATGAATTTGATTTTAAAGACGTATTTAAACGTGTTTAGATGAAAACTCCCCAAAACTTCTACAGGTACTTTTTAAATGTAATGTTCATTTCGCTTTATTTGCTGTCTGTGTGCAACATTTATATTTCTACAACAGGTTTGTGTTCTGGCTTTACGTTTTTAAGCTTATGAATTCGGTTAGTTCATTTTTTTATTCATTTCTCACAATTTTTGATGCATTTCGGTTCTGCAGCTTTTCTTTGTTAAACTTTATAATAATTTTCAATTAGCAAAAGTATTTTTTTTTACCCCAACTCTCAAAGTTACCAAAAATAAATCTAAAAATTGTCCTAAGTTTCTTTTTCCTCTTCTCTACCAAACTGTTTCCAAAGGAAATAATTAAAAAATTACTTCTAGATTTCCCTTGAGCTTAAAATGAAATCTAAATTTTCTGACACACTACATTTTATGTTTTGTTTTCCGACGAAATGACTCCAGGTTACATTTTTTTAATTTTCAGACGCCAAAACTTTCAGACGAATCCGCTCGATCGATCCGATTACCGCTCCCTGGGGAACTCTTCTTCTGTGCAGGAGGACTTCAGTCATGGCGGTTGTTTTGTGTCTTCCTCTCTCGTTGTTGGCAGTGCTTATGTAATAACAGATGGAAGCTAGAAATTAACACGTCTTGCCTCTCTCGTTTTTTCCCCTCCTATCTCCATTTATTTTTAATGCGGCGAGCACGAGCCCGCTCTCCTGTCGTCTGTCTCTCGCCGTGAGTGTGTGTGCGTGACCTCGGTGAGCCGGCGGCACCTGTCAGGAGCGCGTCGCACCGCGGTTTGCGTGCCTAATTAGCACACAAGGAATTCGGTGGCACGAGGCGTGCAGCGTCAGTGGGAAGAGACGAGTGTGGGGTGCAATTAGGATTTGTTGGCATGCACCGAACACGAAGACAAGGAGGAGGAAGAGGAGGAGAGGTTGGGGTTTGTTGTTGGTGTGGGAGGGGAAGGTTGCATGTGGGGCTCCGTACTTCTTTCATCTCTTCAAAAGATGCACAATCCAAGAATTTTAACTTCAAACAGCTACAATATCTTTTATTTCAGGGTATTTATGTCTCCTTTAGTGGACAAATCTGTGAAAACATAATTATGATTGGTTCACATCAACAAAGTTGTTTTAAAATTGATTTTTTTTTTTAAGCTGCAAAGAACTTTTGTTTTTTAACAGAAATTAAAGTTTGGTTTAAAACCTCAATGGAGCAGCAGGTGGAAAAAATGTACAGCAATGTTTCTACAAACCCAGTTTCAAAACTCCACATTTTATCCAGAAAGTTCTGGAGCAAAAACTATGAATCTGTTTTTTTTTTCTTTTTTTTGTTGCCTGTTTTGGTATCTGGACAAACCTTGAGCAAAATCTAAAAGGCTCAGACTTGTTTAGAAACCAATAACCTAAAAACAACAGGATGAATTTGGTCATTTGGGTGTTGAGATCAGATTAGACTAGATTAGATTTCCACCTGATAGTGCAGGAGACTCGGTTCGATTGGGACAAAATTGCAGCATTTGTTACATTTACAGCTGCTCACTTTCTCTCTGCTCTGAGTCAAACCAACCAAACCTTTTGAAAAACCTGTTCCCCTCCTCGCCTGTGGGGGTGCTGTACCAAAAACTGCTGAAGGAAACAATATAAAAACCTCTGAAGAAGACACTGACCTGTTACATTCTTCACAAAATGTAACAAAAATGGAGCAGCATCAGATTTTAGCAGTTATTTGTCTTTGGTAAAACACTATGAGCAATTTATCCCACTAGTACTAGCCTAGCATGTTGGTTTTGCTTGTATTTACCCAGAATTCCCTGCACCGTAGTCTACTTCCTGCTTTTGGTCCGATCTCAGGTGCTCACATAAGCAATCAAACACATTCGAGGGTCATAAAGAGGGTGATTGACAACGCTAAGCCCCGCCTCCTGGCTCTGATTGGTTGTTTCTACTTAGAAGAAGGCAGAGAAGATGCCTTCTTCTAAGGAAAATTCATATGAATTTGTGATGACGTAGAGACAGTTTTAACAAATACGTAAAAAATATATTTTTTATAAGTTACATGCTGCATCTTTAAAAGTGGAAAAAGCCTTTAAAGTTCTTTTTCTGCTTCACATCCAACCCAAACAATTACAAAGTTTAAAAGTATTCCTTTAAATAATTTGGTTTCTTCAATCTTTCTGAGAAAGGTTTCTGTCATCGACTTTCTGCTTCTTCAGTCAGATTTTCTTCCAAACCAAACAGAAAAAAAATAAGAAAACAACTGAAGAAGCAACAGAAAGAATTTAAAGGTGGCATCTTTTAGCTTCAAGTTGGTGCTTGATCTCAACAATGGCTGCAGACTTTGTTGGGGCATTGATTGGTCATTACAGATTCATCAAAGCAACAGAAAGAGCGTTTGAGGCGGGGGGAGAAAACGACGGAGGCGGCGGCTGCTGGAAGCGATTGTGACGAGGTCGGACATCCCGCCCGCATGACTTATTTATCAACGCGGCGGCGGCGGTTTTCATGGTAAGATCGGAGTCTGCTGGGAAGTTCAAACGAGTGGAGGGAACTACAAGCAGCAGCCGGGACCTCAATTTGACGAGACGGCATCAAAAAGATCCCGATAGCCATTGTGCAAACAACACGAAAAGGGAACAAATGCCTCTTTAATATTTCCAAAAGAATATAAAACGTCATGAAAACGGTGATGAATATGAGAAGGAACAAGAAAGAGCCGTCTCTTGTTTTTAATCTAATGGGCGCGGCGGCGATGCGGCCATGTGGCCCTCGCTTTAATAATTTAACAGACATCAGGACGGCACCTGCTGGGAGCCCAAATCATCGCCACGGCTTTGAACAAAACCGCTGTGACATTATGGCATCTGGCTTTGCAGCGCACAAATACAGACAGAGAAGAAGAAAATCATTGCATTGGCGGCGCTGAACACGGCCCGGGGCTACGGAGTAATGAGCACGTCTCCGCGGAGGCTCCGCCGCCGAGTCACTTTCTGAAAATGGTTTCTTGTCTTAATAAATCCTAAATGTGTCATTTAGCTGTAAAACAGGAACAACAAAGCAGGCGACATCAATGCCCATCTCTCTTCTTCCTCTTCTGGTAAAGATGATTTAATAATCAAAGCGTCTCCACAGGTAGACCAACATCTCTTCTCCATTTTCTTTCCGCAAATGGTTCAAGGTCGCAAAGTTTCAACAAATACAACCAGCAAAATGTTTACAGTTCTTGATTTTGTAAATAATCCAACATGCCTCTAAAAAAGGAAGTTAGCGCCAATAAATCTGGTTTTGTTGGTTTCTACAAGGATCTACTGAGTAATGTAAACGATTTCAAACATCCGAACCAATCTGTACGGTGGCCCTGAAGTCCAAACCACTTCAACAACTCACTAAACACAACTAAACAATAATAATAAAAAAGGACTTTAATTGCTTTATCTTTGAAAAGTTTTGAAATTGTGTATTTTAATTTTGTTTGCGTGTTTTAAGTTTTTTTTGTAATGTTTGTAAAATGTGAAAATTTTGAATTTTTTGTTTTGATTTTGTTTCTGTCTTAAGGCTTTTCTAAGTTGCGCTTAGTTAATGTTGTGTTTTGTTGAGAGCCAGTGTTGGTTTCCATTCGTTTGGGAAACCAAGTGTGTGTCATCAACATAGTAGAAGAACACAGTAACAAGATGGCGGATGGTGAAGATAAGGTTCGAGCTAAAGAACCAGGTATTTGTTAGTGTCTGACCAGAACCACGTTGGCGTTGGGGAACCTTGTGAAAACAACCAATCAGAAGGTCAACCACAGGAAAACACCGCCGATGGAGAAACACCAACTAGATGGAATTGGACATATATTTGGCAGAATATTCGGTTTTAAGGCCCATTTTTGACCAGTTGGATGTCCATTACAAAACAGTCTATAGTTAGAAACCAAGCATTTTGGTGAAGTTCTTGAATAAACCTTAAAGGGTCCCAATAAGTCAAAGAAACTTGACTTTCTGAAGGTGGTGAAAGTGTTTTAATAGGGTTCCTTATGGAAAGTTCATTATAACTGGTCAGTTCAGAGCGTTGTTTGTGATGTTCTGTAGCTGGATAACGGCTAAATGCCTGAAAAAGCACAAAAACCCCATCTAAACAAAGTCAGCTTGGATAAAAATCATCTCCCTGGTCTCAGTTTCATTTGACACAAACTTATGTGAGCAGTTTTAATTTTTTATTTCTGCATCCTGCTCCTGCACCAGTTGTCCGCAGGCCGTTGCTGTCTCTGCCCATGTCTGCCATCCTGAAACGTGTGAGCGGAGGGGGGAAGACGAGCCCAGCCAAGAGGCCTGCAGGCCGCAGCCCTCTCTCCGGACCCCCAACCCCGGGTCAGGCTCCTCAGGAGGGGGATCGCCCCGCTACCGGATCGAGGAGGAGGAGGAAGGAGGGAGGAAGCTCCCCCGGTGTCTTGTGTAATCAACATTTAGAGGAACAGCTGGAAGGAGATGGAGGAAGAGGAGAAGGAGGAGGGGGAGTGTTTGTTGTGGACTTTCTCACGTTCTGTCGTTTCGTGCGGTCGGTGTGCGATCCCGATGGGCTGCGGCGCTCGGAGCGGGTTCATCATCGGGGTCTTTGCTTACAAATAGAGAAACGGCTCCTCTGGGGGAAAACATGAAATCTCAGACTCCAAAGGAAGAAAGATCAGAAGACGGACGATATTTACACAAGAAGTTTGGGTTACAGTTGTACAATTTATTTTTCCTTGTGGTCTGTAGTACATGTAGTACTGTTAGAAGGGACCAATTCGATAAATGATTCCTCTTTGTTGCATTTATGTTTTAAATAAACTACAATGCACAATGAGCCACATTTCCACTGAAACATCTCAAGAATTTTTTGTTATCAAGTC